AGAAGAGTGTTAATCTTCATGAAAATTACACCAATTTTGACTATCAAGAAAGTTTCTCATCATCTCTGAAATTTTATTTCAGATTCCATTCACATTTTTACTTTCTACGTTGTATTACAAAGTTGGAGAGAAGCTGATAACCTGAAGAGCTACTCTTGCAAAAACTACAAGTATACAGTAGCATTTTAAATTATAAAACAATACCACCCCTGTTTATATAAACATGTCTCTCTCCATCCTACCTTTACGTATACATTTCCAACTAGATGATCTCCAAGGTTATCACAAACATTCATCTCTTCAACTTCACCATATTTTTCTTCCATTTCTGTGAAGACCTCCTAAGCACAAAGCAACCATTAGAAATTTGCAGTACGTTAGTTATAAAAATAGAAGCATTTCATTTAGCTGTCAGTGAGAACAGAAGACCTTCCTTAAAAAAAGCAAAGCAAAACTCCCCTCCTCCCCACTTTGTTTAACATTTCTGATTTTAAAAGTAGTATTTGCTTGGCCTACACTGTGTCCATCTACGTACAGCACTATCAGGACAGAATAAAAAGCTACAGAAAACATTACAGATATAATATTTTCAGAATACATAAGAAGCACTGAAAACACTACATATAAGCCTTAATGCTACAGTTCTGATTAATTTGATTCTACACAAACAATTAAGTGTATTTTAAATTTGCAGAAAAGCAGGGGATCAGGGAATCACAAAGCTACACTGTTTAAATTGCTGATTTTCAAACAAAGTCTACTACGAACAGTAAAGTTAAAGCCAGACTAAACAAAGGTAATACCAGGAAATACTTTGCACTGAAGGTTTTAGGTTTTATTCAAACACCTAAAGAAACAAGCACTTTCTCTGAATCCATCTAATTCATCTGTGTCGACAAATTCCTTTAATGCCTCTGCACAACCTTTACATACCTCAAAGAATTCATCATAATGTTCCTGCATCTCAACATCGCTCACAGCACCTGTAAAAATCAAGAGTCATATCGATTAGAACCTATAAATCAGGAAGAAGAGATTTTGATCATACTACAAAACAATCTAGAGAGGCCGTCTGGAGCACAAAAGACACCATATAGCATGGAGCTAACTAATACGAATATTAAAAATAAGTATATGTGAAGATCTTTGAGTTCCCAAAGTATATGTCAAAACATTACATTGACATTATCAAATCAAAACAAGCCAAACTTTTATGCTACAAATTTAAAGGAAGGGGAACAGAATTACTTTGAAATATCACTTTAGTTTAATTTACAGTCCCACCCTCTACCTACCAATAATTTTACCTAAACAGAAGGCAAGTGCTTTGCTACATTTGAATATTTTAAAACATGATTACAATTTAGTGTTCCTCTTTCTAAAGGCAGAATTTTATTTTAATATGTTCACCTCTCCAGCATATTATACATTAGAATGTGAGAGTTTGCAAGGTAACATAGCCCAGAATTTTATTTTTAAATTTGCTCAATAGTTACTGAAATGACACAATTTTCCCAGTGCCCTCAAAGAAGAGTACCATAATGCTTTGCAACAGAGAGCAACTTTCTGGTTTAACTCTGAATGTCACTTAATTTTTCTGTAGTCCTGCAGAGCACCTTTTAGTGCAAGACAAGCCAGCCACATATTCAGGTTAGACTATTTTCATGCTCCAAGCTGGACTTTACAAATAAGCACTGCTTGCCTGCTGCTATAAAAAACCATAAGTTTGGCTGATTTTTCAAAGCATTAAGAATATAAAAATTAATTTCCTTTATTTCTTCCAGTCTACAGCATTTTAAATTACATTAAGCTGTACACATTAAAGCCTGATGTATAATCTCTTCAGTAGTGGAGTGGTTTATTAAGATGTAGTGGAGCAGTTTTAAAATGAACCCTCAATTTTATGCTACAAAAATATTCTAGCCTTTAAATTACACACACTACGGGTTCTACTTCACAGAATGTGAAAGAGAAGGAACTGAGCCAAGAAAGCTGAGTTTGTTCACTTTAGGCTGCTATGAAGAGAGAGATGCTTTGGGCTCAGTCATTTTTGGCTAATATCACCATTTGGACGAACTGTACATTTTTCTTCAAAGGCTATAATATTACCCAGCCACACTCTCTGGAACTGTTATCGCTTCTACCCAGCTCACCTTCTGAAAAATGCTAAGGGGCATTTGTCTTATAGTTTAGGCTAACAGTATTTCTGCATTTGAAACATGTCTGCTCTTAAGAACCTTCTTCTCCACCACTTCCCCATGGTTATATAGCAAATTGAGGAATATCAAACATTAAACCAGTATTTCTAGATGGTTTAATACTTAACTATATTCCCAAGGTTCTGCCAACACCACTGATAACAGCTTACTAGTAACTATGGGGGTTTTTTTAAAATATTTTTATTTTAAAGGTATCAGACAGGGGCTCTGTGAGCCACACTGAGAACAACTACTTTTTGCCAGAGGGACAAATGCTAAAAAACTTATAAGGAGATTCCACTGTCAAATTAAGAAATCATAAGCAACAGTTAGTTAATGACTACTTGAATATCCTTCTAAAGTGGGAAGCATACATATGCACAGGCTTCACAAACATTCATATTCCAGGGCTACCGGTATCTGAACCGGGAGAAGCCCAAATACTAATTAAAATACTCAAGAAAACTGTTGCTGTTCAAAACTAAGGTTAATCCTCTACGACGGCAATAGAAAGGAAGACAGTTAAGCAACAACAATAGAAGCATTAAATAGCTACCGAGTTATCCGTTATGAAATACATGCAGTACTTAAGTAGGGACAAATATTGAAAAAACAGGGAGCTGGGAGTTTCAGCAAATCTACTGACAACGGAGCTCCAGCTCTACCCCTGAAGGTACAGTCGGGCTCTGCTAAAGAGCTACCCCTTGTCAAGAAAAACTGGAATTGGATACCAGCATTTAGAAGGCTAGAGAATCTGCTCCAGACTCTTGCAGATGTACAATCTAAACAGCTCCACAGACCAAACTGCTGTAGCTCTGTGCAAATTAGTTACCAGCGCATTGAGAATTTAGGGACGCAGTGGAAATACCCAAGTGTACATCATTTTGGGGTTTTTTTGGTTTACTGAAACAGCATTAATAACTAAGTATCCGCAGCAAGAAAGCCTACAAACCAATAAGAATTGTTTAAGCATCTAGACATAACTTGGAAAGCTCATTATGTATCTAGCTTGATTGTGTGACAAAACACTCAAATTACTTAATTGGATCATTATTACTTTTAGAAGCAGAAGAGACAGTGTTGACTTTTAAGTTAGTGGCTAATTTCACAAAGCACATGTAATCGAATGCTGGTAACTAATCTGAACTAGTCTATAATCCAACAGTCAAAAAAAAAAAAGAATAGCCAAACAAAGCTTTATTACCACACAGTCAATATTCACTTCAACAAGAAATATTAGTTAGAAAATAACACCGATCCTTTTTGGTTCTAAAACTTTTTTCTTTTTTAAAATCTTATTCTAATATTGATGATTCAAATCACAGCAAAATATCAGTAATTGCAGATCAACAGTCCTGGTAATTTAACTTCTGCCAGTCTCACGGTAGGTGTGTTTTCTTATGCCCATTCCTACCTCATGAGGAGTCATTAAATTAGTTCATGACCATACCCAAATGCCTTCCCCTCCTCCACAGTACTTTTAAAGACAGATTTTCCTAGGTAAATACAAAACTTGGTTGTGGAATTTGAATTTTCAAAGCATGGAAAGAATTTTAAGCATGCACCTATCCAAAAAGGACAGCTGTCAGATGGGAAGTACCAGTCAGTCAAAGTGTATTCTTCCAAAGCAGACTGAATGGAAGCTGCTTTAGCCTAGGACAAATCTCTGCATGCAGCCTGAGAGGTTTCAAATCAAGTTCTCTTAATATTTACAGAGCAGGACATTTCTTCTGGAGGAAGTCAACGGGTCATTGTCCTGCTCTTTTAGACAGTGGGACCTAATGGATAGGACAAAACATATAGAAAAAAAGCATTCCTAGGATGCAGGCAACTGGCAGGTGGAGGGGGGAAAGCAGTGCAACCATGACCGCTTTATAGGGGAAGTACGATTTCAACCCTTTTTGAGTTAACAAACAGCACTCAGATTCCCCTCTCAGTTTTGGGAGTAGGGAGGAAGGTGAGTGGGACTAAAAAAAGTTTTTGGGTGTTGATTTTTTGGTGTTTGTTTTGGAAACATTTCATGACACGTGGTCAGTTTGATCTGTTAAACTAAAATGGCAGACCAGCTTAAGTCGACACTGAGCTCTGACAATCAAGCCCAGGGAACCAGTGAAGGAACTTGTATGAACTTACAGCGCAAACCGTCAGCAGACTGGGAAGAGTTTTGAGGGTTACGGTAAATGTTCAAGAGGGCAATGGTCTGAAATACAAAACGCAACAACTTTATATTATGGAAAATAATTTTAACAAGAAACCGGTTTCCTTTAGGGTCGCTTTAGTCGAGTCTGTGCTGAAAGAGAGGTGGTTATTCTCTCCCCAAAAGGAGAACGTTCACTTAGCTGGTGACCTTTCTGAATCAACCTAACACTGTAAAGTAATAGAGATCTCATGATACTCCATTATTGTATTTTTAAAATTTTATTCACCGATATTACTCTAGAGGGGTTTTGCATGATTTCAGGCAGATATGTAATAGATGGCATCCAAACACAGTATTCAAATTACAAGCATAATAATTCGTTTGAATTTGGTTTTACTGAAAGGTTTCCTAATAGCAAAATCCCAGAGAAGAAGTAATACAATAATTACAGCATCACATGAAATCTCCATTTTCCTAAAAAAGTTAAGATGAAAGAAAACCCAGTTTGGGGACACTTACCGTACATCATATATATACCTATTTTTTAATATTTTTTTTATGAAATCAAGAATTTGAGAAATGTCTGCAGTTTAACCCTTTTAAAAAGAATGCAGTGTAACTAAGCAATCAAGTTTCACTGTGCAGTGTAAAAGAAAATCTGCATGAAGGCCAATTTATGCAGTCAGTTCTGCATTCTGAATTGCACACATTCGACAAGTTCTTGATCTGTGCGCAAGAAGAGTTCCATCACTTGTCCTGTTTGCAACAGCTTTATGTCAGCAGCTCAGAAGCCAACATTATTTTCTCATAATTAGGAGTGGGCTCTTTAACACCATTCTTTAAAAAAATTTCTCCAACTGTGGGACTTACAGTGTGAGCCGTCAGCCGTCTGTGCACTGTTTTGGGGGTTACGATAGATGTTTTGAATCAAGATGGTCTGCGGGGAAAAAAAATAAAAAGGGGAATTCTACTGGCTGCTGTGCATATAATAGACAATTGCAAAGAGACAACTTGCTTGCAAACAGCTAAAAGTAATATTTTATTCTTAAAGACTTCCTTTTGTATTTGCAGAGTATCTTCCAAAATTGCATCCAGACCATCATATTATGAAAACAGTTTGAATTAACCACCAAGAAAGAGCTGCATTTGTCTCAACGGCTATCCTCAAAATGGGAGTTGTGAGGCACAGTGACCTAAAACATCAAACTACATGGTATTATGGAGATGCCTAGCTTTCAAGACCAGATTCATTATTGTAAGACTGGGGGGAAGGGGGGGAATAAAAAAAAAATAAGTGTTATGCGCACAGCATATAATACATAACGCCACAGAGTCTAAAACATTACACCAGACAGAAAGGTTTTTCGGCAAGAGCTACATCTCATTTTGTGCATCTGGAATTTCTTGGTGGAATTTCTGTTTAAATAATATAATAGCATCATAGGTTCACATGTTTCCGATCCTTCAAATAAGGACAATATCCTTTTAGCCCTTCTGCTTTTTACTTGAAGAATTAGCCCAGGCAGACTTGAAACCTTACATTTGTACCGTTCTTCTTAAAATCAAGTTGTCTGAAAAAACAAACCATGTTTAAGTTAGTAAACTAATATTACAAAAAAATTCCAAACGTCCATATCACTGTAAGTAGCTCAAAAATTGAAATTTGATTACTTAAAACACAAGCTCAATGTTAGTTAGTATGAATCGCAATCCCCAAATAATTTTACCTTACACATTATTATTAGTCACAGTAAGAATTCAGAGCTTAAAGAAGCCACAGGACCAGCAATGTCATACCTACATATGCTGCCCACTTAACATGTAAAAAAAATAAATAAATCTGTAACACTGCATTTTAAAATCACAGACTCGTTTTACAACGGGCATAGTCACACCAAACGAAACTTTGTGCTTCTGTGGCCCAGGTTTAAAATAATTATGTTTTATCCTACAATCTGAGAGAGCCAGAAACATCATATAGTTACAGTGTTTCTGCTGATTGGTGGTAATTTGATCACCCTGGATTGTGCGACCTTTCCTAACACAGCTCTTCTATAAAGTAGCTGCACCAGCAATAGCAACACAAGATAAAAATATTGTGCCAGTAACTTCTCGTTACGAAAGCATCTGTTCTTCTATTTTCTATCACAGCTGATTATCAATTTGCATACAAATAAAGATTTCTGTAGCAAACCCTACACATCTGCCAGGTACGTCAGAGATGTTACAATACAGCACATCTGCCAGTGGCGATGCTGTGGCAGTCCCAGACATCACTGGATGAATCTAACGTGGCCTGATGACCCACTTCAGCTGGCATTTGCTAACTGCAGTTTCTAAAGCCAAGCTAAAGGCTCCACTGCCAGAGGAATACATTGTTACATGTGATGCTTTTGGTAAAAAAAATAAAAATAAATAATTTGCAGTTACTGGGTTGTTCGTTTTAAACTTAAAAGACAACTACTGTGGAAATTCTCCAATTTAGAAATATTTTCTGGTAGACAATGACCTTTTAAATTCAGGTCTCAAAATAACCAATTGCATTTCAGCATGCTCTCCATGCAGGTCAGCAACATGGAGTACTTTTGAAAATGGACAATATTTTTTTGAGCTACAATAATTATATTAAAACTATTAAGTGGAATTTAGAAGTGGAAATCTAGAAGTGGAAAACTGTTGTAGATGAAGTACCAGCAACGGCCCCTATCAATCAGACAATCTCCTCTAGAACTCCCCTTGCCCACTCACACACTCATGAAGCTTAATTTCACGAGCACCGTCACTCAGAACTCATCAAATGGATTGCATGTGCCTCCCTAATTCCCTCCATACCAACATGAGACCACCATTCCCATTAATACTGCTCCAGGTCAGCTAAAATGAACTTGCAGGACTCCACCACTACGTAAACTTTACCTTTGTTGGTAAAACTCCTGGTAACGCAACAATTTTCACAGCCGTTACTTGTCATATGCAGTATTCCCAAAGAAATCTATTTACCTGTATACCTTGACAATCAGCAGTGATAGAAAGAGGCAAAGCATAGAGTTCTCCAGGAACATAATTTCTGAAAGCTATGGGGCTCATTTTATTAATAAAAACACTATTAGCCACTGCACCTTATTTATTTTTTTCCTCTCTTTCTGGAAGACATGCAGTCACATATCATGTCTCTAAGAATATTCACACAGCTAAAGACTAAATAATCTGTGAAGTCACTGATGTATGCACCCTCAGCAACCAGGCAAGTTTTCAAGAAACAGGTCTTTCACATTCAAAGTAAGTTACTCTTATGAGCCTGGGTCAGAGAGTAGAATTTAATGATAGACAAGTCGCTTTTATTTATTCATCAGTTTTATTATATTCTATGCACAAAACACATTCACACCTGACATAGGTGGAACACATTGCCACTGTCTGCGACTGAAAAAATCTGGGACGGTTTAAGTGCCTGAACACCACTGAGAAGGCACACTCACCTGAAAGTTAGCACTGGTTGGTCTCTACTACAGGCAAGCTTACAACAGCATCGCTTCCTGCAGCCATTAAGGGTGACAGGAGATAATTAGAAATGCTGGGAGAAGTAAATGGAATACCCCCAAAAGAGCAAAAACCCATATAAACTGGGGCCAAAAGTGAACTAGTTAATCTGGAGCTCAGTAATCATTCACGTGTGTCTGAAAAATCTATGTTTTAAAGAAGCAGGAATCTATTTCCGTAAGAAAGAGAAAACAAAAGGAAAACAAACCTGGCTAAATGTTGGTTTGTTGTGCAACCGAGAACATCTGTCTCCATGACGACAAGCTCCAATTTTGAAATAAAATGAACAGTTGACTCTGCAAGTAAAAAAGCCAAAGTAGTTATATATTGGAATAGAAAACATTACTACGTAATTCCTATGAAACATATGCCCTAATTGTTTTATACTGATATGGAGAAGTAACATAGAAAAAAAAAAATCAAAATTGTATAGGAAAATACTAAAGCAAACCTGTCAATACTGATTTCTCTTTACTCCTAACTTATAGCAAGTCATCCGACCATTTTCACCTGCTACTCAAACCTAAAATGTGTTCATGACACCACTACAAACAGAAGTGATTGCTACTGGTTTACCCTTCCAGTTCTCCATTCTTGTCTTTATATCAGTTTTACTGAGTGATGGGACAGGAAATAATGGGGGTGGGAAAAAAAAAAAAAGGGGGCTGAAAAGTTACACTATGAGCTATACCGTCATGTCTTAGCTCATGCAACCCCCTAGTCTAGGCAATACAACCTGCTTTAAGGCTGATACAGTTGCACCTACCTAATATTTTATAAACCACCTTCTTAAGGGTATTCTAAAGGTAAGTCAGGCAGCTGCCAACGCAGTATTTGAAATAATTCAGGTAAGAGAAAAAAAAATCACATTACAGAGAGAATACACATAAGCAAAAATTCATTTATTTAAGCCATTTCCACGAATGTAGTTAATAATTGTAAAAGGAAGCATTTAATATGTTTTAAACCACAAGCTTTTCTTGCATTACCTATAACACCATGACACTTTCAAAACTATGCTGGTTTAGGAATGCCAATAAAACTCTCACACGTAAGTGCAATTCACATGGAATGATGAAAGAAAACCATAAGGATTTTAGTTACCTTGACCAGGACAACTGAATGCAAAATTCTGAAGGGCAAGAAAACTATTATGAGCTATATATGGGCAAGTGAAATATAAGAATTACCCTGGAAGAATGATCATTATTTGCATGTTCATAGTTAACACCAATTACCTCCGCAATCCTGTGTAACCAACACCAGTTCACAGAGAGGAGATATCTTAAAAGTATTAAAGCATATCTGATGTCTAGCAAAACATTCTACTGTAAATTGTAACATGCTTACTCTTAATTACGTTTTTTGAAAATATATACTTATCGTTACAATATACTTACTGTCTTTTCTCTACCCTGAAACAAGAAAAACACCTAACTATAAAATTTCCAATAGTTCCTCCAACTTCAATGCTTTACGGAGAGTTCTGCTTGCTTTTTAATAGAGTAAGACCAGTACACGGATTTCATGCCTGCTGCACTGGCATGCACTAATACTGTTAAAACTGTAATGCAGTGTATCAGAATGGATGCTACAGCAACAAAGCTCAAGAGAGGCTGTCGATGTTGCTTTTCTGACAGACGAGTGCATTGGAACAGGCACGTAGCACTACAAAGTAGAAGGAAAACAGCAGCCTCACGGCCTGGGGCTGACAAATTTAGTCCAGTAGCACATCCATGCCCCCTTTCATTTCTACAAGCGGGAAAAAACACGTTGGTTTGGTCAGGCCGACGGTGACCAAATTTTCGTTAGGAGGGTTTTGTAAGTACGCTTCCAACAACCAGAGAAACTAGAGGCGTTCCCGACGCGTGGAAGGCTGCAGGCAGAAGCCTGAGGATCAGGATGCAGCAGTCGGGGAAATCCTCCGCACCCTGGGGAGGGGGGAGAAATAACCAGTCGCTGTCCTTGCAGCAGAGCGGAAGCTCTCGGGCTGCTGCAAGGCGCAGGGACGCGAACAAAAGGGGAA